AGTGATTGCTCTATATTAGGGTCTTTGATATTGAGCCAATGGAGCTTTCGAGATCTCGGTACCGTAATGTGCAGGCTCAATAGTGATTATTCAATAGTAGGTACTTTAAAAGTTGAGAAATAGAAGCTCTAAGTATAGAGCTTTGAGGTTTTTCGAATCCTTCATGATAGACCTTTTGAGAGCTTTACATTCCACAAGGTTTCTACATTTCTAGTTTATAAAAATAGAGGACTTGAGTTCTAAAGCTCTGAAATTTTAAAAATGGATTCTCGAAGCATAGAGCTCCGAGCTTTTTTCGACCCTTCGAAGCTAGACCTGTTGAAAGCCTTACAAAATTTCCACATTTCCAGCTTATAAAATTAAATCATTTGAGTTCTAAAGCTCTGAAATTTTAAAAACAAACCCTCCAAGCATATACCATTAGAACCTCTTGAATCTCCATCTTTTGAGCCTCGAATCTAGCGCTACCTTCAAGTTTCGACCTACTACTTTCGAAATTACTCCTCAACCACCACTGTCAGAGCTCCTGAGTTCCCAGAGAGGCCACCCTGTATATTCGAAAAATTACTACGTCTAATACCGAGCAATGGATTACCCACTCGAAATAAGTCCTCGAGAGTTTACGTTCATCTTTTACCGCTACTTCTCGGAGGTCCGACGTTTCCTCGTTCCAAAGATCGCTGCCAGCAGCAGTACGCTAAGCGTTTTCTTCAGTTTACAACACGTCGTTGCGAGTTTCTTATAAAAGCATGCACACGCAGCAACAGTTACTCTTTCTAAACGGCATCATTCACTTTAAACACTCTGCCCCATAAGCCGGACTTTGGTCCTCCCCTTTCGCTCACTTCTTGCGCGGTAAGCTCTATTTCGAGTTACGAGATTTATCGACGCATTACGCGATGCATCGAAGGGCGTGTTAAACGTTTGTTTAAAATCACATTAACTCGCGCATCGTCGGGCACAAAATTCAACGATGCATTGAAATCGACGCCGAACGCCCTTTGTGTAATTTATAGATTACATATTTCGCTAATTAACGTTAATTTCGCAACGGTACTTTTAATTATCTCGCGAACGAACGATGCGCGTCTCCAGTAAAAATATGTAAAACGAAACGCGATGCAGAAACGGTTTGCGGTGGAAATAATTATTAATTATTATTATTCCTTTGTGCGTCGGATCTACTTTCGTTTTTCTCCTCGCGTAGAAGGCGCGATCGTTTCGCAAAACAGAGAATTTCTCGCACGGGTTATGGAAAATTAATCGAATCCTTGACGAATTTAACTGTGTCCCCCGATGCGTTAGAAAATAAACACGATTTTATTCCGGCGAATTCAAAACTGCCAAGCACCAGCCGTCACGAAATCAATAACAGTTTCATATCTACGGATTCGCGATTCGCGTATTCCCATCGCGGTCGCGGTACATGAAAATAAAGCGTACGTTCCGCGAAAGTAACGTTAATCGTATGGTAATGGAATTTCTGATTTTCAGGTACTAGCGCGGATTCGCGTCAGCGGCCGCAAAATAATCCCGTTCGAACGTTTCTCCGTTAAAAAGCGCCAGGGTTTTCCGCGCGTATGGCTGAATTTTCCGTGCCTATCAACGTGCTCATTAATTGATCTTTGTCGAACAGGGTCGATTCGAAAAGGCGCGGTTTTCTCATTTTTCCAGGACTCGCGAAACAATTCTGTCGGTTCGGCGCTGGTGGTCGATTTTATTTACAGAGAAATTATGCGAGGAGAAAGGCTTCGTCGAGTGTAATTATTCGCGTGCCTAGCGCCTACGTGGCTCGCCACTTATAAAACACGTACGAACTCGATTAATACGCGACGCTGGCAGAACGATAGGGAATAGAGGGAGTGACGGGGTGAGGGAAGAGAGTGCATTCGTCGAAGGGGTTGAGAGCGGTATGTGCAAGCGATGCGATGATGCAAATTAGAGACTAACACGGCTATCGGTATGTCAGCGTTTTTTGAGCTATTCCGCTATTATGCTGAGCACGGATACGGGGGAGGAGGGTTCGTTAAAATCGAGGGTGGTGTACAGTTGATGACCCTAGGAGACGTCGGGGGGATGAAACGATGGCCTCTTGTATGGAAAAGCAGCCAGCGGCCACAGGTATTATCTTTTTGGCGTTCGTCCATGGTGGTATCTCGATCGAAATAATTGGACGCCTGGATTGAGAGTCACGGACTCGTTTGACCCTCGAAGACTGCGCTATGCTAACACTTGTTAAGGGATCGGATATTTGAATCGCATGACTCGGACTCATTCGTCAGGCTGGATGTGGATCGCTGGAACGCTTGATAAGCTCTTGGACGACCTAGACACGCCGTGGGCTATGTCTAAATTCGGTGGTGGTGTTTTTAAAAGTAATACTCGAGTGGAGATTTAGATGGCGCGGAGGACACAGGATGTAAAGCATCTAGATTTGAAAGACACTGGATGTATACCATCTAAATTTGAAGGACACTGGATGTAAAGCACTTAGATTTGGAAGACACTGGATGTAAAGCACTTAGATTTGGAAGACACTGGATGTATAGCACCTGGATGTGGAGGACACTGGATGTAAAGCACTTAGATTTGGAAGACACTGGATGTAAAGCACTTAGATTTGGAAGACACTGGATGTATAGCACCTGGAAGTGGAGGACACTGGATGTAAAGGACCTAGATTTTAAAAACACTGTTTTTAAAGCACCAAGATTTGCGGAGGACTAAAGTACCTTGATCTGGAGGATGTATAGCACCTGGATTTAAAGCACCTAAATTGTAAAGACACTGGATGTTAAGCATCTGGATATGGAGGACACTGAATGTAAAACACCTAGATTCCAAGCACACTGGATGAAAATCACCTGGATTTAAACTTATGATTCCTATTATACTCAACAAAACAGTGTCCAATTTTGCCCTACACCGTCTCCTCAGCCTTCCAGGTCCAAATGGGTGACAGGACCTTTCGTTAAGGAACTACAAAAATTAATTCCAAAGATGAAACAATAACAAAAATAAATCTGTACAGGATTCGTGAATTTCCCGACGTTACAATATTCCACACTACGTCAAATATTGACTTATCTAATCTCCAATATCCTCTAGACATAATTGTATCTTTATAACAATCTCCACGAGTTCACAGCCAACGTGTTAAAAATGTCTCCCTACAGACTCTCAAATTTCACCTCCCTTTGACAACTATAAACTCCGCCACCCCCTAGCCTCGCGCCAGCCTACCACAGGAATCCAAAGGTGTCAGATCTAATGAAAGCTGGTTTGTCATGTCGTATCTGGCCTACCCCTCTACCCCTGACCGGAACAAATGCCCGTCCGGGTTCTATGGTTTCAAACGGTCGTCACCGGTCCCGGCCATTGCGTGAATTGCCATTGTCCGGCTATCTCGGAGGTCGAACCGGATATTAAAAGCCCCCGTGATTCGGGCGACGCGTCATAGTTCACGTCACGTCGCATCGAGCAATAACGCGACAAGGAAGCATTCGGAAAAATATCCGCGGGCGATCGCGCGGAGAGAACGCGGAGAGAGGCGGTGTTTGCTCGCCGGGATATCGGCCCCGAAAACCGGATATCGGTTACCAGGTGCGCTTTGGTCGTGGGTTATGGGCCACGTTGGAACCTTGTTAATTTGGACTAATTGGGAACAGACGTAGTTAATGGTGGAAGGAGGATTACCGGCGGTTTGATTCCGTTGCGAAACTTCGTCAATGCCGGTTAATTAGAGGTGGAAGTTCGGATTGGAGGGATTAATAGGGATAGATCGGGATTGATGGAGCGGCTGAAGGCGGGCATTAAGTCGGTCTAAGCAAGTTGCGACCTCTTCTTGGTTCGGGGCGGCGAAACTTGTCATAACAGGTGGAATCTCGGCGTGCCCGGGTGTTTCTAAGGCTAACCAAACTTTGAGAAGCCGCTATTCGTCCCAGAGGTGGCGAGGCAACCTCGGTTCCATCGTGAGTTATAAACATCGTTTCCGGCAATAACGCTTCCTCGAGCCAATGGAATCGTCATGTTAATCACCGGGCTTGCTCGTGTTCCTCAAAATTACCTCGTATCCGCGATATTGTTTCATTCGTCGATTACTGGATAATCCAGACCTAAACCGGCAACTCCACTCCTGGCCACTTCTACGACGTAATGGTCTCGCGCAATTTCGGAGAAGTGGCGGTTGCAGGGCAGGACTGTTGTTATATTAAGACTTAGCCTAATTTGACAACCTAGTGTACATCTAAAGCACCCCTTGAAAATATTTAACGTACACAGGGCACTCCAAACTTTTCTTGTACGGATGGTATTAAAGATACCAAGATTGTTATTAGAATTTTCTTTTTATAGACAGCGTAATACTGAAGCTACCGAGGTCAATGCATGCTTATGCATTTTTGCAATTGGAGACTCTATGTATTCTTATGTAATAGAAATTAGACGACTTGGAAGGCTTCAAATATTTTTACCCAAACTAGAGTTCTAAATGATATCGTAAAAGGGTGATTATAAGAAGTTCGAATTGCTATCAACTGCGTCTTTGTAATTAGAGACATTATGTATTCTTATGTAATGGAAATTAGAGGAGTTGGAAGGCTTTAACTATTTTTACTCAAACTAGAGTTCTAAATGATATCGTTATAATAATTGGGTGGTTACGAGAAGTTCGAATTTCATTCAACTGCGTCTTTGTAATTACAAAGACTTTATTAATTAGAGACTTCATGTAATCGTATCCATTGTAATAGAAATCAGACAACTTGGAAGACTTAAAACATCTTGACTCAAACTAAAAATATAAATGATATCATAATAAGAAGTTTAAATTTCACGAGTCAAATTGGCCAGCTTAGTAGATTTGCTGTCAAGCGTCGCTTATTAGAAACCCGTCACTCGAGTCAGTTCCATGTTGCCCCAAAGTCTTCTTTACAAAGTAATTCCTAGGCGCCTATTTTTCCAGGGCTCTTAGAAAAATATATGTCATCTCTCTGTTCCAGGAAACGAGATACTTTTTAGCGACGAAACCGGATATCTCCTGATCTATAATGTCACGTCGAAGAAGCGCTTGGTCCTCAATACTTTTTCTTCGGTGAGTGTATTCAATATTTCGTAAACCGCGAACGCATTTTTGTTCGTTCATGGTTCTCGATAAAGACATTTAAATTCCAAAAGTGATTTCCACCCCTGCTGATGATCGATCCTCGACATAAACAACGGGAAAAGCAATTAACCAACTCTTTCTCTGTTCCAGACAGTGTATTCGAGCTTCGACTACCAAGTCTCCGCAGACCGGAAGTATCTCCTAATGGCCACCGATTACCAGAAGGTAACGTACCATTTACACGTCGCACTGGTCGTTTACGATCCCCGTAACTTGAGAGACCCCGTGTATAGAATCGTCCGCTATCGAGGCCTCGGAACCGAGTAGAAACGAAAATCCCGTCTGTCACGTAGCCAGGAATCGCGAATAAATTTTGACCAAGCCTGGCCACGAAATTACCACGTGCGATAAGTTTCGATCAATAGTCGCACCTGCAGCCATTTACATTCGGTCATAAAAGGAAGCCGATGACGCCGATAGAACGGATACAAATTGCCACGCTACTCTGACACGTGACTACCAGGCAATTAAAGAGCAAATTTGTTACGCGTTTGCATTCAATAATCGCGCGACTATAACGTTTCATTATTTCCCGATGCGTCGCGTAACCTGTCGCTCGGTTTTCCTCCAGCAAAAAATAAATATGATACTACAGTTTATATGCACATGCTGTTACACGTCTATCTTAAAGAAAATTTACGTTTTTAGTGGAACACTTGTGCATAAAAGAAATTCTAATGGTCCTAAAATCTCGTCAAACGTGACTTCGAGAACAATTTCGTGTTCATCCCTTCGAACAGTAATTACGATGGTTAAAAAATATTTGTGTATTTTAATAAACAGCGAAGATATGGCTAGCCTTCGATAACTGTCGCGATACCGTTCTTACTCCGCGACAGTTAAGGAACACAATCAGAGAAACGCACTCGCGATATTTTCAAGTAGTTCGAACGATCCCGAGCTACATTTTTTAAACAACGTTTTTCATTTATTTATACGCGTCCTCGGGTGTCCCCAATTATCCCCAGAATTTCTGTAACAGTCACCCGTAAAGCAATTATCCAGCGTTTTTGCGCGAACGCGGGAGCAACGGCGAAGTTTCGAGATTATTTCCACGCTGAAAAGTTGGATACGTCCGGGGCGTATCGGTGGAAATATACGCACAGAAGAAGCACTTCTGTGCGAGTAGATTTTGAGGGCGTATATCGAACCGTATTCGGTGGCCTAGTTCGAGACAGCGTTAGCGAGAAAAAGTGGCGGAAATTACGAGGTTCGAACGTTTTAGGGGGGAGACTTTGTTAAGAGCCAAGTGGGTTCGACGCAGCGTGGAATCTTGTGCTAGGGAATCGGGGTTATCATCTGGACACGTGTTACGACGCAATTCCAGCTGCGGAATGTTAAGCAACGCTGGTGCGTGGAACAGCAGACGCACGCTAAATACCATATAATACCTGACATGCATAGCATCTGCGTACGTCGATGGCATTGCTCGCCTCTGTGCACGGTTTCCTCGACTCCTCGCCATTCACCACCACGCATAATCAACCAACAGACCGCCACCCTGCACGCTGTTCGCCCCAATTGCATACGTTACGGCCACTGTACCCCGAATCTCTTGCATCCTTCGCCCTCGTCTCGTCACATACTCTACCACTATCCCAGTTTTCCATTGGTCAGTCTTTTCGGTTTAATTATATTACTTCGAAGGAGTTCATCCCCAGACCCAGTCTTTGTTCCTTCTTTCCCAGAGTTCGAACGAGTAAGGCTCTTGGAAGTCTGCTTGGGTCAAAGATAAAAGAAATTGAGTTTGTCGTCTTAAATTGTCTCGAAGAATCGAATTACGAGTGTACTCCGAAGTTGGATCGCAATATTTTTAGAGTAAATCACTAGTCATCGTGCTTCGATTGCACCCTGTGGATGCACCTCTCATTTTTGTACACTGTGACACACATTCGAAAGTCAATCTTAGCTTTACAAAAAGAATTATTTATTTTTCTAGTGTTATCTGTCATGACGGTAGTTTCAGTGACACCCTGTACATCCCTCTGAGTGCAGCTCTCACGACGTGCTTAGAGCAGCTATATTCCGTTCTATTTGTAATACAGTATTCGCCACGGTCGCGTCGCGTATTCAAATTCGAAATCCAATAGATTTATTTTAGAAACTCTCGTGGCTCGCGTCCTTGTTCCACCCACGCGTCCCCCGGTGCTCCCACCCCCTTGCTCCCACCCCTTTGCTGGTCGTTTTGTCGCTGGCTCGGTTCTCTGTCAGCCTCCCTTCATCCAGTCCGCGCTCTTCTTTCCCTATTTGCCCGCATTTCGCCGGCGCCCCAGTCTTCATCCCCCTGGTTTCGCTACATTTGTACATGCGCCCCTTTCCAGCCACCCCGCGGTGCGTGTAACGTCAACGAACCACGGACCACCCTGTTACCGCCGCACGTAAAATCCTGAATTGTGTATGTCCAACTTGGCCAGCTGGATTTCCAAAGGGATTCCCAGCGTCCACTCCGAGGGCACCTGTCGCGATCCCTGGCCGTGTACCTACCCCCAAAATGGACCTTCAGATTTATTCAGCCTCAGATTTCCAGTCTTAGGGTGCACGCGGTGCTTGTTTGGCCGCGTACCAAAATGTTTCAACCTCTAGAGATGAATTCGGGACGATGTTCGGGATCCAGCACTGGTTTGGCGAACTGGGATGTTACGTACCACGCATTGGGACTTTTTTCGGAGTCTTATCTTTGTTTAAAGCGTTAAAGGGCATCTTATTTGTATTTAGTATGCGACGAGGAGCATTCCAATTTCGGATTGGAATGACTCTGGTTGAGATTTAACACACATACGTATATGTAAAGAAAGGATACTTTCTTTAATTCAAATTAGCCGCTCTTCTGTTTACCAAAATCGAAATAGGCGTCAAAAATAGGGGTTCCCATTAAAAGAAAATAAGTTTACCTTGAAATGAGCTTGAAAATGAGGTTCAAGGTCGCCATTGGATTCCTCATCAAAAATTACCTAAGGCGTGACCTTTGTTTTCTCGTTTCATCACTAAACTTGCGAGATGTCTTCGGGTTTCCATACTTTTTCCCCATTTTGTATAAATATGAAGACAATGGTGAAATTAAGATAATTGTTATTCGCTGTACAATGCCAATTGTCGATCTTATGGTTATTGGCTGAGTCAGCTTGGAGATCAGGTTCCGGGCTCAGCTGTGCGAGGTTAATCTGCGTCCAACACTCGCGCCACGGAGCTATAATAATCCGCGATTGACTTTCGTAGGCCCCAAATTCCACGGATTCAGTGTAACGCTGCCATCCAACCCCTGTCGAATGTAAAAGGCAACTGTTTATTTACCTACGTGTGAAAGATAATATTTAAACTCGAATATAAGAATTATTGAATGACGTGGTTTATTTAGAGTGTCTCGCAACAGGATTCTCTTCGTTTGACGTTCGAGTCTCCGAGGACGTCTTCTATTTATCTCTGTCTCCCCGAGGGTGTCTTCCAGAAGGGATGTGCAATTGGCGATGAAGAGATTGCAATATCATCCTCGTAATAATTGAATTCCTGAGAAAGTTTGGCGTCCACGGTGCAATATCTTAGGCATCTCTTGTTCTCGATTCACCCAAGAGCAGTCGTCCTCGAGAATCCCTGCCTCTTCCAGTACCCGAGCCGAGTCGGGTTAGCGTCTTCCTCGCGCCAGTGTTCCTTCGTGCGGAATATCTGGCTTACTCTTCCCGGCTCGCTCGGCGAGTCTTTTATTTCGTCGGACAAGGCGGTTCGGTCGGGTGCAGGAATAATTTCCAGGTATTTTCAACTTTCGTATTTACGATATCGGGGCTGTTCTCTCCCCGAAGGAAGTTTTCAAATTAAAAGAAGCGCGACGAGTGCATATAGGAGAGAAGGGAGGGGAGTCGTCGAGATGCAGCCAGGGAGTTGCGGGCGGGAGGGCAATATTAGTTAAAGGAATTTTAAGGCTTTATTTACGATATTGGCGCATGATCGCGAGAAGCAGCTATCGTCGGAAGCTGTTTGGTCTCCAATACCAAGCAGCTGCCGTTGAATTGCACAGGAATGGGCCAGGGGTTCTCAGCGGGGAACCGCGCGAATGCTAATGCGCTCGACGAACAAACGACGCCGCTTTCTATGCATGAGCCGCTCTCAAATCCGGGGATAGCGACTTTTTGGAACACCGAGTCGATGGGGCTCATGATATCAGAGATCACCGCGTCCGAGGGAATTCTGTGTTACACGTGCTACGTCATTGGACCCGCTTACAGGGGTTCTAACGCCGACTTACAAGGCGCCGGTGCTCGTACGCTCAACCGAAAACTGGCAACGTAGCTAAATTTTCCCCGTGGTCGAAACTTGGTACCGCAGCTTCCGCCTCCTATCGTAACTCCGCGTTGCAAAACAAAATATGGCCAACTTTTACGTCCATATCTCCCCCAACGGTAGATTTTCTTAAGGATCCAGTGGCAACGACGTTTTATACGCGGGAAGCCACTATAAGAAATTTCATGATTTTCCGATGGACCTGAGGTGAACCTGAGGTGTATCGGAAAATTGAGGTTAACCTTTTGCACTTAGGTGTCTAACAAATTTTGTTAGTGACGTCACTGCAGGCGGAAAGGATTTATGCTTTGGCAACGCTTCAAGAATGCTATAAGAATTTATAATCAGTTTCAAAGACACGTTTCCAAAGTTGGACTATTTTATGCAAAATTTTGTTAGTGACACCACTGCAAGCAGAAAGGATTTATGCTTTGTCAACGCTTCAAGAATGGTATAGGAATTTATAATCAGTCTATAGACGTTTTCAAAGGTAGACTATTTTGTGCAATGCGATTCCTGTTCGCACATTTTGCAACGAGATGACGCAGAGTGCAAAGGGTTTGTTGGAAATTGGCTTATTATTCAAACTCAGGCTGGTGGCAACTGCACCCTGATAGGAACCGTGATTGGGAAAATAATTAGACAACTAATAAGAAAATAGACAAATAACAAGCAACTCAACAATTATATTAACAAAAATGCAGATAGAAAAATATACGACTCTATGCTAGGAGTCGTTACAATTTCTGTCGTCGTCCTCAGGGGCTGTAGCCGTGTTTTTAGCTACAGTACGGGGTTAGCAACCCCGAGGTACCCGAGCTAGAGAGCCAGCGGGCCCCTATAGATGAGAAGTAAGAGATACTGCAAGCCAGGTTCATTCTTTTCGCGTACTA